TGCCTAGAGTTTACTGTTGCTAATTTGTTTCAGATGCTTGATCTGGTAAAATAAATGTGTCTCAGCAAGGGGTGGGAAACCTTCCAGCACCACCACGAGAGGAAAGAACACAGTGCCAAGCCTCACCACTCACAGCGCAAGTGTCAAGCCCTGAAGAAAATCCTTCGGACTTCTTCACGGCCAGGAACCCTCCCTCAGTGGCTACAACATCTTGAATGCCTTGGGCTGAATGGCCTCCACAATCGCCCAGCATAGGAGCGTAGTGGCGCTCGAAAAACACCACGCCACGCGGTGGTGGAAAGCATCTGACACGCTTCCATGGAGCGATGGTCGCATCTGAAGAGAAAACGATTGCAGGAAGCACCAAACTAGTTACTGTAACATAGGAAAATTACGTGATTAATGTAGTGAATGTGGTTATAGTTGATGTTATTTGAACATGATTGTTCACAACTTCAGATGGGGGGCTGACAGGTCAATTCACTCTGACCAGGTCCGTTTGATTCACCGTTCGGTCGGCGAAGGCCGGGTTCCATGGGGAAAAGGACCGATCCGTCGTTCCAAAGACCAAAGCGTAGACCGAACGAGGGCCCCTTGGTTCCTGAGATGGTGGTAATTAGGATCCACTGGGGATAGTATGTGCTTTAATGATTAATGTGTTGCTTTTGTTTGCTTAATATATATATATACATATATATATATGTTTAAATATGTGTTTGGTTTGTTTAGTCAATCTTGTGTCACATTGAGGGTTCAGAGTGCTCCAACAACTTGGTGTCCCAGGCAGCCCGACGGACACACGCCGACCCGGTAAGAGGTGAAACATCATCTTCCGGTGTTTCTTTTGGAAAACAAGCACGGAAAGATGGATTCCTGGAAGGTGTAGATCATGTTTGATGGTTGATGCACCCACTGCTAGCCGGATATATTGGCATGCCCAGGTCTCCTGCTGTTTGAATTAATTTCTTCAGACAGCACTCAGGGCCGTCCGTAGCTTCCAGTATAGCTTAGTCGTCTTCCGGATGAGGGACACCGGATTAAGACCACCAAGACCATCGGCCAAGCGGACCAAGCACCAGTTTGTTCCTGCGCGAGTGATGTCTTTCAAGCAATCCAGGCATCCTGGTTTTGAAGACATTAAATACCCTGGTGTTGCTTAAGGTGATTTGTTATAAATTCCCTTCTGGGGAATATAATATATGTGTTATTTGTTCCAGGTTACTTCAGCAAATCCGTTTGACCACCCTCTTTCAGCTTTGGCCATCAACATGTCTTCTGACCGAAGGGTTTCCAGCTTTTGACCTCGGTGACCGGATTTGCGGTTGTTCCGAACATGACTGGTTTCGAGACGAAGTCACACGTACATCATGACACCCACAAATAGACCCCAGCAAATAGACCCAAGCATGTACTTGCTGATCTGCAAGTGTGTGTTTTCTTTTTTCAGAACAACGAGTTGTGTGTCTAATTAGTTTTAAGCTATTTCTTCAGGTTCCAGCCGTGTGATTCTCACCGTTGGAGCTGACATGGTTTTCTGAGAAACAGACAGAAAACCTTCCAAAACAAGTCAAGAATCCACCAACTCCAAAGTAGTTTGACTGATATGCCAATCAAAACTCAAAGCTTTTGGTGAGAAGGGTACCCCGGTTGACCAATGATGTGGCATAGTGAAGATGAGGCATAGTGAAAGAAGATCGGATTGTGTTTTGATATTATGTGTTCCGTTGGATTTTAAGTATGCTGCTTGATTATATTTATATAATAGCCTTGTCCGAAGAACCCTTGTGTTTATATGAAGGATTTTGACAACAAAAGCCTGGTCCACTCAACTTTCTTAATCCCAGAACATCCATTCATGGAATAGTCAACAGACATGTACCATCATGTCATACCCCAAATATATGACATTATATGACCTTAAGTGACTCGACTACATGTACCCCCCAAAATGGGATGCATCTGGGAATGGTCGAAGCCGTGGGTTTCGGCCTGTTGAGGGAATGGCGATGGGGAGGAAAACCGATGGATCAGTCCGTGGAGTGGAACATGGGTGAACAACGCAGCGGAGGAAGAGCGCAAGCTAGTCCAAGCCGAAACTCACCCTGGTAAGCTTCAAGTACTCGTTACTACTGTAATTACTCTTGATGGGATGAATCTGAATGAATCCTGGAACCAGTAGCAGAACTCTCCCTCAAATCCTAGCAGCATAGATCGACGGAGGGGTCATCCCCATCCAGACGGATTCCGAATAGATCGATACGGGGGAAGCGTGTTCCCACCCATCTATGCGCCAGTTGATCCCGGTTACATGTATTGAACCACCTGTGGAAATGCGTATCAAGTATCAATCGCATTCAACTGCTACTAAAGCCCCAGGATGCATGGGTTGCTTTGTTCGTTTCGGGCGGTGTTAACGACTCGCGCCGACAGGGCCGCGCAATCTGACTGGCGGTGGTTGGACCCAGCACGTGACACGTTTGTGCGCCTAGATCTCAGAAACACACCGGCAGATTGAGCCGCATTGAGCCGCTCTTGTTACAAAGTAAACAACTGATGATGAAACGTGTTCTTTTTTCTGCTCCTGCTCTCGCACATCTTGCACTGGGTGTTTCTGTTCTGCATGTTCCAAGGACTGGTTGTATCAATGCGACATATGGGCGGGTCAAGGACTAATACGTTACACCCCACTCTGGGCCGCCCTGGGTTGGACGTTGCGAGGAACTGGAGTTCCGGAGTCCACTTGTGTCATGTCTTGAGCCCTGACAAAACATCCACAGAGGATGCAACCTGGATTCTTCAAGCACCCACACGATCCCATAAGTATAACAAATGTTGGGCAAGTCCTTTGATGCGTTGTCAAATTGGAGAAATGTATGGATCATTTCTTAGATACTTTTGGGCAATACTCCGCGTTGCGGGGAAAAAATGCGGGATGGACATTGGAGAGAACTCAACTTGGTGTAAATGTGCATTTTTGCTGGGAATGCACTGCAGAAGAAGTGGAAGGATTCAATTTCTGTTGAATTAAGCTCTTTCTGATAAATTCGCTTCTTTCAACTTTCAGCTTGCTGGGTCTTCCGATCTTTCATCTCTCTTTGAGAGCTTAGCGGCAACCTCCCGAAAGGTCAACTCGAATGGACACTCAGATTCGTCCTGATCCAATCTCGCCAATCACTGCGTCGCCCACCTCGATGATTTTCCCGTCGTTGCCGGCTGAAGTCTGAGCCAACGAGCTTAGGGCAATAAATCCTCGGCTGAATCTCCAGAGACTCGAGGGACCCCCCCTGCCACAGAGACTCGAGGGTCCAGCTTTCCGGACACTTGGAAGCTTTAGGATTGATGGCTTCGATCCTGGCAAGTTCTGGGGTCCCTCGATTTCAGAGACTGACCTGAGTTCTTGAAGTGAATCTGACAGGCTTGGCTCGAAAAAAAGCATGACTGTTCACATGATCGAATGCCGTGCACGAACCGGTGTTCAGTTTTTCTTTTCCTGCACATGAGAAGCCTTGCACTGCAGGTATACCCTTTTTTGAGCCGTCCACACTTATATCTAGAATCTACCGTCCAAGCGTTTGGCAAAAGGCCAGATTCGCTTGGAATTACCTGCTTCCTGACCCGTGCCTTTTTCCATTGGCACACTAGTGTTTAAGTTTCTCCTCATCGAAGGATGGAATGAGAGCCGAAACACCGTTGTGCTTTTTTCCCAATCAAACGGTTCTCATATGAGAGCCAAAAACCGTTGTTATTTTTCCCAATCGACACGACCGTTCTTCAAATTTCGGGCGGCAATTTCTCCATGGGTCCAAGACTTCAAAGAGGGCCGAGTCCTTTGTGGATTTGGTCAGTAGCTACTCTTTTGGAGCAGCTGAAAAGAACAGAAATGTGACAGCCATGTTTAGCATAGTTTTATTAACATGGCTAGGAATGGTTTTGCTGGTGGCCCACTTCGTTTTCAGCCGCGCAGGGATGTGTACTCAATAGAGCCTAACAGAGCCTAATGGGTCGATGAGGTTGCATTTGGGTTGGGAAAGTCAGGTGCAATGTTTGCCAAATGAGGTCTTGTACCTGCATAGTCAGAAGATTGGACGAAAAGTCGCAGTTCCTTAGCCAGAAATGGATTCGTTAGATGCAAAGCTTTTGTTCGTGTGTTGGAACGGGTGGGGAAGCCACGGGTGGTGGCCGCAGCCGATCGGTGACTCAGCCATCGGCTCGCCACCAGTTGTTCTCTTCATGGGAGAAGTAGCGCCATGCGCGACCGACCGAAGAAGTGGCTGAAAAACATGGCACAGGAAAGGTGTTTTGTCTCGGGGGCGCCGCCTGCCATCTAAGGGGCCTCCCTGACCCTGCGGGGTCTCCTTAACTAACAAAGCCCAACAAATCCTCCGGGAATCTCTTTCAGCTGACTGATGCGGCTTTTGGCGAGGCTCGTAGGTGAGGAAAGTGTCGCCTGAAAAGAAGCGACCTTTGGATCCAGCCACCAGCCTGCCACCCTACAGGTCAGTCGCACAGGTCAGTCAGTGTTTGCTGGCTGGTGCCCTGGTGCCCACCGACCGCCAGTCGACTGGCCCGACCCGCCAGCATTGCTCCTCGCCGGGGGGGGTGGATGTTTTTGTTGGAGGAGTAGAAGACCCAGTCTGACCCAGATCCAACACAGCCAGACTGGTGCCTTTGGTTAACAAAACCGATCTGCAAAACCATGCAAAACCATCCAAAACCGCTACATCTTTCTAGCGTTTTGGAGCGGCCTCATCCGGGCCACGTGTTTCAGCGGACTCCGCCAGCAACAAAGCAATGTAGGGATTTGGAACCTCCCAAAACCCTCCCCAGTCCATCCTCTTCCAGTCGAAGGTACTACTTGGAGCTTACCCGGGATGAGCATCCCAAAGTATATATAGGAACAAGAAGCTACTGTACTAGGCTCCTGGCAGAAGTTACTAGTAACCAGAAGCTACGAACGGAACAAGAATTCTCCTGCTTCCTGCGACTCGCCACGCCGCCAGGCCCCGGGGACTCTTCGCCGCGCAGCGGCTCCGGCGCCGAAAGGCAGCGGCTGCCGCGGCTCGTGTCCGGTGGTATGGCTGGCGCTGGGGCTGGCCGCTTGGAGTCCACAGTGGAGAGTCGAGTCCGACGGAGGAGTCAACGGGGACGGAGGAGTCAAAGACTTGTAGCGACTTCTAGAAACACTGGAGAGCAAGATGCTGAAGTCGAAGTCTCAGCCCTTTCAGAAGCCAAGAGCGAACTACCCGGAAAGATGGGAGAACCAGATGAAGATGTGTGAATTGGAAGAGCAACAGCGTGGAGGCGTGGAGCATAGAGGCTGTGCAGTGCAAGACCTGTTCGCTGTGTGCAAGTTGTAGATCTCATCCGCATTCGCCTGGCCGGGGCGACAAAGCTATTGGCCATGAGGGCCATGGGATGCTGGCACTTCCAGCTGACTCCCAGCATCCGAAGCTGGAGTTTCTAGGAAATCATGACAAAAGCTTTGACAAATCAATACAAGTCTACAAAGACTGTGGGCCCAAGACATGAAATCAACACATGAGCTGAACCGCATGAGCTCAAGCCACTGCTATAGTGGCGCCCACATGTGCCCACGTGCGCCCACGTGCCCCCATGTCATGGCACAGAGGTTGCAAGAGCAGTTTTGGCTTTGCACATGCACCATGTTCACCACAAGATCCAGCATGGACGGTTATTCTCATTGCAGAGTTGAAGCTTTGGCAAGAAGTCAGCGGAACCCGATATAGAAAGCAGAAAGCCGAGGTTCTACTGGAGAATGAAGCATTACAGTATCTAAGAAATGCACCCCGTCCAAAAGCATACGGGGGATTGCACAGTTAAAAAGCCATGTGGATCCCTATCGAACAAACACTAGACTGGCTTGCTATGACTCCAACAATCAGCCAGCTCCACCCGGGCCCAGGTTCTTGGCTTGGCCATCGGCCGTGTTTGTCGGTGATGGCAACCCAATGCGACGAGCAAAAGGGCAGTCAAAAGGGCAGATGGGTAGCTCCAAGTTGGTGGTGTCCAACAGCAGCAAGTTCAAGTTTTGTTCACTCATGGGCTTCAATCTGTTGTTTCTTTGCCGGGTCCATCGAGAGTCTCCCTTTTTCGATAGATGGCAAGATTGCACAGAGCTGAAAATGAGTTCTTTGTGTTTAATTCTTCCCCATCTAGGGTCTTGTGCAATGTACCACAGAGTGAGAGAAATATGAGTTCTACATGGTTTTACTACTTTGTGGTATCCTAGTCAAAACCCGAAAATGAACAGTCCATGCTTTATACGGGTAGAATTGGCAGGATCTTGTAGGGTCCTATTTGTTGAGCTCCGATGTCCCCATACTGGTTCTCTGAAGGTATCCTCCCAAAGAACCATATTCTCCAAGCGTTCCAAGCTTGTTTTGCCTCATCAACGTCGCCCTAATGCCACAAGATTTGTTCGTGTTGCTTCGAGAACCGCTAATTCTTTGTTGGAAGCCACCCAAGTCAAAGACCAGATCTACCCGGTAGCTTTTCAGGGGGCCTTGAGACATGTTCCATTCAGCAAGGTTATGCTATGGTCCCATTCAACATACTAACCCTATCGTAAGCGCTGCATGTTCCACGCAGGAGTCTCCTCCGCAGTGGCTTTCACACTTTGTGTCGGGTGAGGCGCTACACACTGGTGATTGGAGGTGAAATATTGTGAAATTGATTTAATTCTGACCGCAGGTTTTGTTCGTTTCAAATCAATCTTTCAAGAAAGAGCTTTGTTGTGGCAACTGGGCGAGAAAGAAGTACTCGTGTTGGCGACTGGGATGTCACCAAAGCCGAACGATTCGAAGGTTGGTTTTTTTGGATTCCGAAGAGATTGTTGGCCAAATAGATTGTTATTTGGCAGGGAAGAAACATTGCCCGAATCTCATGAGCACCCGCTTGTGAAGATATCAAGGTACTTTACATTCACAATATACTAAGTTTGCTTGGGGTAGATTCCTTTGACCACTCATGGCCACGATATTATCAGCGCCTAAAGGCGCCTTTCAAAGCTCCAGATCGGACTGGAGGTTCTTCTGAATCGTGCCTGAATCGTGCCTTGATCATATAGCAGCATCAAAAACGGTGTGTGTGTGTGTGTGTGGCCCTTCGTGGAATCGCCCGCCGTCTGCTTCGTGCTTGGTCGTTTCTGCGGTGAACTGAACGTCTCCAGGGTCTCGTGGTCTGGTTCAGGTCGCCCACACGGCGAACATCTTTTGCAGCCTGATGTCGGGCCTCTAAGATCTCTAAGGCGGTTTTGAATGCATTGCGGTTTTGGGCTGGAGGCCATTGCTCTCAGGTTTTCAGGCCATCGCTATTAGGTTGGAGGCCATCACTAGTAGGTTGGAGGCCATCGCTACTATAGTAATTAACAAGAAGCTACTACCTTGTCGGTGTGTGCGGAAGACATCCACGACGTTCGGTGAAGGAAAAAGAGGAAAGCGGAGAACGATTCTGGGTCAAGGACGGAAATTTCACCATGACTGTGCAAATATTGGCAGTCCATTCTATAGAAGGGTGGTGTTGGGACATGATCAAGTTCGACTTATTCATGCTCGTTCTTGTGTGTCTGTGCATGGGTGTGTGTGTGTGTGTGTCCTTTTTTTCTCCGGGGGTCATGGCATTGCTGCAACCACAACAACAAGGCACGTCATGTCAAAATGTCAAGAGAACACAACGAGCCATCCATGCTTGTGAATTCTTTCGGTGCGAGGGTCTCAAAGCAACAGCCCAACCCCCTAAGGTACACCTTGAATGGTGCAGTACGACCAGCCAATACGACCAGTGAAGGGGCGGGTGTCTCCCAGCGAAGTGTTGGATTGTTCCATCAGGACTTACCTGGGATGAAAGGCCCAACCTGGGATGAACGGCCCAACCTAAGAAGCTACCTGGGATGAAGTGCATCACTACTAGTAACAAGTGCCTCACTAGTAGTAACAATGTTTGCTAGTAGAAACAATATATAGAGTTTAATTAGAAATCGATTTGCCGTTTGGTCCAACCTGGGAACCCCACTGCTGAGGTCCACAGTCTGCAGCTACGACCCCATAGGCCGTGTGATTCAGGAGATTGTGGTGTTCGAGAAAGGGCGTGATTACGCGATTGATACTTTTTTTGCTGGAACTGTTTGTTTCGTGGAAGTGGATCACCTTCTAATCCATCATAACCTTTATAGTCTGTGTTATTGTTCATGCCTTGCTCTTGCTGGCGGCTTTGTTGTTCTTTGGTCAACCCCAACAAGCCCTCCTTCTGGGAAACTTCGTGGTGCCCAATCCTTTCACGTCATCCAGTGTGTCTAGCAGTCTTAGATCGCAGCAACAATCCAACAATCGCTTGAGCACAGGATGCCCCTGGTTGGTCGATTCGCAAGTTTACTTTGGGCCCAACAAATTGCCCAACAAGTTGTCAAAGATGTGGGAACAATATGCAGAACCATCACCGGCTTCGTTCAATTACTTGTCAACTCACGTGAGCATGGGGAAAAACAAAAACAGTCGTTGGGGGAGATGCGCAGTACGCACAACCGATGGGGTCCGACCCAGGTACCTAAACTAAGCTCCCTGGATGGCAGGGTCCGTAACGAATGAAGCATGAAATCCGAATGCCAAACACCACTTCTACATGTTTTCGTGGTTTTGCAACTTGTAAGAGAGATTTGCCAGAGAAATGCATAGAACTTAAAGATCTGCGAGCTGAGCACGACCTGAGTTTGGGGGCATCTTTGGATTTTCGGGATGTGGCTTCAGGATGTGTTTTTCTTGATTGTTCAGGGGTCCTTGTAAGATATGGAAGCATAAGGTATATTAGTTATTATATTTTGTCTCATACCTGTAACAGTCAGTAAGCAGTTTATTTTTTTTTAGAGAAAGGCCTCTAATGTTGGATCTTATATAAATAGTAAAAAAAGAACTCCCCCTAGCAAACAATCGAGGGAATCTGAATAGAAGCACGGCGACAAAAACAATTAGTAGTATTAGTAGTAGTCGTCGTCTTCGTCGTCGTAGCAGTAGTACTCGTACTAGTAGTCGTAGTCCAAGTCGAAGTCGAAGTCGAAGTAGTAGTAGTAGTAGTAGTAGTCGGAGTCGGAGTCGGAGTAGTAGTAGTAGTTGTTGTTGTAGTTGTAGTAGTTGTTTTTGTTGTAGTAGTCTTAGTAGTAGTTGTTGTTGTTGTAGTTGTAGTAGTAGTTGTTGTTGTAGTAGTCTTAGTAGTTGTAGTTGTAGTTGTAGTTGTGGTTGTGGTTGTGGTTGTGGTAGTGGTAGTGGTAGTCGTCGTAGTAGTAGTAGTAGTAGTAATATAAAGGGGGGATACAATAACAAACAGCGTTTTTTTTGGACTCCAAGATATCCCATTAAAACGGGAGTGCTGTTTGCAATCGTTTGAAGTGCTTCTCTGAAACCCCGGAAAACCCCCAATTTGGCCAGGTCGAGGGGTCCCGTATGGCAGCTACTTCAGTGGTGGCCTACAGGCACTGAAGGGGTGGATTTGGGCCACGGCAAGCATAACTGGCAGACGGTTCATTGGGGAGATCGATACCACCAAGGACCCCATTCATTGGAGACACAATTGAGAAGAAATTGAATTATAATGTATAATATGAAATAAACATACATATATACATATAAGGGAAGGGAGTGCCATATAATATACCCTATGGTGGCCACCTCAAAGACCTGCCTTTTTCAAGTGGACTCTGAGTGACTCGGTACTTGCCAAAGCAAGGGGTGTACAAGATGCGTGCACCATCATGTACCTATACATACCGTATTTACTGCAAGGGGCCATGCGCCATGCTGTCACGTATCCATTTCCATTGTTTTTTGTGGCCTCAAAATCTGGGCAGTGTATCAGCATCACTATTTTGCTGCAGTGTTTGGCAAGCATGGTTGCATAATATATGTTTGTACATTTCCGGGTCTCCAAATTATGTTAATTTGGATGCATTTCGTACAATAAACACAAATGCAACCAGTTGATGCATATAAGATATATATTAAGACATAAACTGTTGAGAGGATTGTTTGTGTTGCCTTTCATGGACCTGGTGATGCACATGGTACGATAGTGAGAAATAAATATGATATACAGGCAGACATAGATTATATGTGAAAATCATGTCAATGTGTTTTTTCAGAAAACCGCTCCCACTCCTCTCCCAGACACACTTCATGATGCAGGATATGCATTGTCGTTCCCAAACGAAAATGCGCCCCTGGCTCAAGCTTGATAGTAGCGAACGCGGCGGATGTTACTAGCAAATACTTGCAACAACCACATTTATGGAAAGGGGTGTGTGTGTGTGTGTGTGTGTCAACATGGGCAGCCTTTCCCTTCCCTTCCATCTCCGTCTTCATGTCGGTGTAGCTGAAGGTGTCAACTTCTCAGCTCATTCCTTCCGCTCACGTTTCAGGAAGATCTGGTAGACAAAGCGCTCCAGGCCGGGGAAGTGCCCGTGAAATCCTTGTGACGGGCGAAAGAACGTGATATGGCCAAACAAAAGTCATGTTTTTGTGTGGTTTCTGCATCCGATGTTTTTTGGCCATTTATAACCATTTGGAGACGACCGTTTCTTTGTAAACCGGTGATTGATGATGATTGATCCACTTTCGGCATGTTCAACCAAGGACCTTCGGGTGAAACGTCCGGAGTTCTCGGGGGGATCGGATCGCCTTCGGGTTCCGAGTGGTGGAGCGGTGCTGGTCCGTGTGTCTAGGCGATAGGTGTGACTTCGTGGTAACCAATTGAAAAGGAAATTCTATGGTGTTTGCACGCGGGTTGTGTTTGGCATGGTGTTTGCAGTTTTGATGTTGTGTTGTGATATTGATCTTTCATGTCCATCCTTTTTTCTGTGTGATCCTTTTGTAGTTTTGTCATGTTTTGTCGTTCTTCCTGGACTATGTCATATCCAAGAACACAACCAATGCTGGGTTCGGTTTCCATGGTTCC